TTGAAAGTAGGTCATCAGATATTAGGCAAATTGTGTGTCGTAAGGCTTTGACCCACTGGACTATAATTGATTATGCAGAAAACTATTAGCACTCCTCATTTACAATTGAATTAATAATAGAACATGACTGAAGAACTTTATATGACTGCTGTCAGGGCTTCAGTGCATCTCCCAACACAATCATAATGCACTGTTTTGACCTCTGTATGTAAGGTTCTGCACATAGCATCATGGAAGAGGGAGTCTAAATGTTTGGGTAGGTAGTGGGAAGGTAGTAAGAAAGTGTTCTCAGTAAACCGTGACAATAGTAAAAGCAAATAAACGAGGTGACATGCATATGTCATATATATGACATGAGTCATGAGTGACATGAGTGATATATATACAATTCTTAGTAATAAATCTGGTCAAGTGGTGTAGTGAAATATTTAAACTACTGTTCAAAATTTTGGGGTCAGTAAGATTTATTTATTTTTTATGTTTTTGACAGAAGTCTCTTATGCTTAAAAAGGCTGCATTTATTTGATAAAAAATATAGTAAAAACAGTAATATTGTTAAATATTATACAAAATGTGTTTTCTATTGTAATATATTTTAAAATGTAATTTATTTCTGTGATTTACAGCTGAATTTTCAGCAGCCATTACTCCAGTCTTCAGTGTCTCATGCTCTTTCAGAAATCATTGATTTGGTGCTCGAGAACATTTATTATTATTGTCAATGTTGCAAATACTTGTGCTGCTTAATATTTTTATGGAAAGAGTGATATATTATTTTTTTCAGGATTCTTTGATGAATATAAAGTAAAGAAGTATAAAGTGTGTGTGTGTGTGTAATCACTACTCACTGCTGTGTGCATGCACTTGGATGGGTTAAATGCAGAGCAGAAATACACCATACTTGAATACACGTCACGTCACTTTTTTGACGTGTGTGCTTGAATATAAGCTATTTTATGTGCACCTGAACACCTGTTTCCTTGTTGTGGTATTCTTATGATTTTTTTTTTTTTTCGTACCTCTGAGCGAAACCATCCAGACACTGCAGTCCTTGCCGTTTTTCATCAGAAATGAGCACACTTCTCATTCATGCCTAGCCAGAGGGCCACACGACAGCTGCTGCTTATTTCGATGGCTGTCTCTAAATGAGATGCCTCTTCTTTCAGTTCTGCACAACACGCATTACATTCACCCTTTGCGGTATAAACTCCTCAATGAGATTTAGTGTGCTCATAAAAGCGATGTGTGCGTATGTGTGTGGGTGTTTCTGGCTCTGTAATTATGTTCGAACTCTCCAAGGAATCTGTCGAAAAGCCATTTTGGAAGCATTATCATTAAATATAGCTCACATCTTTGTGGTTATCAAGAAACACTTGTTAACCAAAAGACTGCTGCCAACATTTGCATGATGGCTCCATCATGGGCTCCTCTCCATGGAGAATGACTCGGTTGCATCTCGATCAACGATACATCACAAATATAACGAGATAATGGAGGTAGACGTGCTGGTAGGGAGGAAATATGAGGTCAGACTCCCAAACGTGACTCGGATCGGTTTCTTCCACATTAACCTTGCGGTAATTGAGTTCTAATAATCATAGGTGTACAGGCGAGTAAATTGGAACGAAGCGTTCCATTTCTCAAGGCGTTTCCAACGCTTTTTCCATCCCGACCCGCAGACGTCTCTCCCGCCATGCTTGGCTTGGAGGTTCATTTGCAGCTGGAGGGAAGGGGACGGGGTAAATAGAAGAAAAGCGCTATTGCGTCTCCTCCCCGCCTGTTCTCAGATCCGCTCCCTCCTTCCAAACTCCATCCTGCTCCAGCTGTCTCCATCGCTGCCATCTCTCCCGGGGGTGCAGGAAGTGCCGTCCCATCAGCCAATCGGAGCAGCTGGTTCGTGGTAGGGGAAAAATGGGGCGTTGTGGAAACAGCTGCCTCAGACAGACAGCTGAGGAGCCTGATTGCTCCCCAAACAAATGGTTTGTTCCCAGCATGCAACCAGATCCAAGTCCCCGTCCTGCCACGGACCGAGGGTTCATCGCCCGGTTTGGCTTCTTTCTTGAGTTTTATCAGTCTTGTGTAGCCAGAGTTTTGTCTTTCAACAAAGTCTTATGCACCTTACAGCTTATTCTGACCAAGAAATACTAGCTTGGACAGAAAGAGATCGTCGGAGTGACCAAACATCTAATTTTATCTAATTTGATGCTACTAATCTTCACCTTCAGCTTAAGGGAATTTTAAGACCTGTAGGTTGTTTGTACTTGTTGCAAAATGGACAAAATTCTTACGAAGTTGCATTTTTTTCCTTGATTTGATTTGCTTTTACAGAGCAGCATTTAAAAACAGACCAAACATTTATTTTTTATGAGTCACATGTGAGAAAACTGTCTCCTTATTGGTTAGAATGTTTTTGAGGTCGGTAAGATTTTTAAAAATGTTTACAATTTAAAATAACTAGTTTCTATTTGAATATATTCTAAAATGTAATTTATTCCTGTGATAAAAGCTGAATTTTCAGCATCATTACTCCAGTCTTCATTCGTAGATCTTTGACAGAGTCTTACATTCTTCAAACTTAATTTGCTGTAAAGTTGCTTTGCAACGATTTGTATCGTGAAAAGTGCTATACAAATAAACTTGAATTGAATTGAATTGAATTCAGTATCACATGATCCTTCAGAAATCATTGTAATATGCTGATTTGCTGCTCAAGAAACATTGCTTATCATTAATGTTGAAAACAGTTGTGTTGCTTAATATTTTTGTGGAAACCATGATGATTAGTAATTTTATTACAGCTCTTATTTGAAATAGAAATCTTTTTTAACATCATAAATGTCACTTTTGATCAAATTGATGCATCCTTGTGGAATAAAATTAATTTCTAAAAAAAAAAAAAAAATGGGGCTATGTTTGAAACAATATTGCCGGACACCTTTTTTGACAGAAGATGCATTTTTGATTGCGCACAAGTCTTTTGTGGTTTGTACCTCTATTGTGATGATTACAATTGTATAAATCTAGAAACGAAGAGTGAAAAATTGCTGTTTTTTATAAACAATATGAAGCAGGATGCACAACACTTCCGTAGTATAATGCATTTCCAAGTGAAACAGAATATATATGCTTTCTTTTTTGTCACCATAATATCGTGTTTTTGTTTATAAGGTTGATTGGAATCCAAAATAAATAGCATAAAAGCTATTTATTTAGAATTAAAACAAGATACAGACTGGCCAATAACAAGAATTATCGATTTATATTGCAAAACTGCATGTGTGAAAAAACCCCTGTAGATCTTTGACAGAGTCTTACATTCTTAAAGTGGTCTTGCTTGTAGTCTCTCCCTTGAAATCCGATTTAATATTGACTCGAGAAGGCGTTAAGACCATAGAGCCAGACAATGGAGCAGAATTGTACTATTACCACTGCATTAATAATGTAGGCACAAAGATAAACACCACTGTGAACGAAGAGCGGGGACGCTGGAGGGTCAGAATCTCGTTTCCTCCTCATCTTCTCTGGAGCGGCTCTGACCCTTGAGGTCCGCGCAGGCTGCTAGATGCATCTCTCTCCCATCTCTTGGAGAGATTATCAAACTCTTAAGGGCCGCTCACTTTCCCGGCATCTTGGTGAGATCTCATTCCATTTGAGAACAATCCAGAAGACTTCAAATCGAGAAAGGTAGCCTCAGCTGATGCTTCAAAATTGACATTATTTACTTCCTTAATAAATGTTCCAGGTGTTATTGTGTGCAATTCATCAGTTTAACCAATTCCCATTGGATGAAATGTGCCACCCTACTACATTTTGTCTGGTTGAATATCCTGCTTCACTCATGAATATGTCATGTTATGGATGTGTGGGAATATATATGCGTTTAATATTTTCAGTCTTTATTCTTCTCATACTGTGTAACAACATGAAATTCATGGTCCAATATAGTCGTAAAATTTTGAATGTATTTGGCTGACTTTAAAAGAACAAAGTTGTGTGAATCTTAAATTAAAAAGTAGTAATTGTTTTCCACATCAGTTTTAAGTGGTTTTTTTTTGTGTGTGTGTGTTTTTGTCATTTTTATTATGATTTTTTTTTTAATTATATTATTAATTATAATGTATGTAAATCGTTTGTATATATATATATATATATATATATATATAAATACAATTTTTATTTTGGTGTTATTTCATCTAACATTTATATTTTCATTTATTTCATCTTTATTTCAAGCAACCAAAATGTTTTCTTTTTAACAATAGCCATCAACTTTTCTCTCCTGCTGACCTGATAAATAAAATAATTTCTTTCTGAATATTCAGTTTCAAATGTAGATCCATCATGTTATGCAAGATTGCATGTGAAGTTTCATGTTTTGTTTTTTTTTATTTATAAATATATAATTTTTACACTTTTTTTCACTAGATGTATTAAATTTAAAAGACCACAGAAAAGGAAACAAACCACAGATGCCCAAATTAAGATTAAATATATTTTGTTATTATACATTCTTGATTATGCATGAAATTAATGAAAAACAAACAGTTCATATTGTAGGATTAGACTAAAGCCCTGTTTGGATGGGACTAGTTTTCCCTCAGGAGGTCAGGTGCATGTGTGTTTCACAGAATTAGTATTTTTATTATTGTTTTTAATCCCTTCCGAATCTAACATGTCTTGTTTTTTCACTCAGTCGTCCTCTGAGAAATCGAATCCATCTAGATAGGCCGATCGGTGATTATGATGGTATATTATTTATCCTTCTCCTCGTTTGTTTTGACCTTTTACACTATATTTCGCTTTATAGATTTGCACCAAATTTCTGGGTAAAATAGTTGTTGGTGATTAAAGTGAATCAATAAGGAGCGCCTGATCACTGTAGTAGCAGCGTGATCTGTATAATAAGTTACATTAGTCGTATTTCAATGGGTTTCATGATGCTCACATCAGACTCTAGTGCTTTTGAATGAGAGATGCGAACGTCAAGAGCAAATCCATACCGTCATTGCAGTGGATGTTGAGCTGGTTTATCTGTTCTGTAAACTCGTTCTCCTCTATCGTCTCTGTTCGTGGCACGGAAAGTGAGAAACGCCTCTTGAAGTTCTTCATCTTATTCATGTCGCTGGACCAGAAGTCCTGCGGAGGATGCAAGAACAGTTTGAGTTAATGTGTTATTTATGAACATGAGAAGATGACATTTGTTTCATTGTGCTCTTAGATGAAAGCTGTCGTGATATTATTGGGCTCTCTTGTGTTTTTGTCTTTTAGAATCTAGTTGAAGAATCTGAGATTAAATGTTTGCAACTTTTTAGAGAGATTTGCCTCTGTTCTGGCATCGCTGGCTGCTTTTAGGCTACGCTCTGTCAGGGTGCCAGGTTTGGTGTTGGTTACAAAAAAACTCCAATATATCAAGACTGCAATCAAGAGTCAGAGCTCTCAGTTTAAACTCGAATATTTCTCATGAAATTCCTCCTAGAACAAATTATCTGAGCTGCTCATTTCTAGAAAAGTCATTTTCTAGAACTATACCAGGGGTTGGCAACCTTTTTGACATGAAGTGCCCTTTTTGGACATGAAATGCTCCCACCCCCTTTTTATATAATTATACAGTACATAATCATTTTTACATTTTCAGATTAAAATCTGTATTTGATTGTTATACAAAAAGTGCAGAATCCTAAACATTTCTGAAGCATTTTTCTATAAATTGTTTTTTAAACATTTCAAAATCCTAAAAGTTTGTTTATTTTAATGTTTAAATTAGACTTTGAATATCAGATTTACAGTGTGACCCTACTGAACACCACTGTATGTGTGTGTGAACGTTGTTGTTCAGTTTTCCCTATTGCTCGCGTGCCATAGGTTGCCGACCCCTGCTCTATACTCCTAAGGTCAGCTATTGACTCATTTGCGTCTGTTTTTATCTCCCCCAAGGAGTTCTTTTGGAGAACAATCTGAGACTTTATGATTCATGAGCTGTAAAAGAGAAACCTCTGAGCAATACATTTTTCTCAGGGTTGATCTACTACACCATCAAAACAGATTCATATCTGTCCTAGGGGTGTGCGATATTGACAAAAATAATCTCAGTATTTTTAGGGAATTTGTCAATAATGATAATTAAACAGTATTTTGCTGAGTGTGTTTTTGTGCTGGTTACTTTGGCTGGTTTAGGCCTGTCATGGATAAATAAATTTGACAATAAAACCGCCAGTAGGTGGCAACAAGTCCATGACTTAATGAGTGATTCATTGAATCATTCTTCAAATGATTCTTTCAAAACGGCTGATTCATTTAGAAATCAAGCAAGTGGGTGGCTGCGTCTGAAACCGCATACTCACTGAGTAGGTACTTAATTTCAAAAAGTACTTACTTATCGAGTGCTAAATTCGCCAAATTCATGCATTACGTCATTGGAAAGGTCACACGCAGTTAGCTCTTCGTCTGAGTACTCCGGTTCAAAAAGGTAGGGTAGGGCAAAAAACTCCATCTCATTTTCTTCAAAAAACTTCAAAATCATCCAACATTGTTGTTTTACCTTTTTTTTGTAATTGGCATTTGATTTTCTTTGCACGTTCACTTTGTAAACACTGGGTCGGTACTTCCACCTACGTCACGCGTGACCTTTCCAATGTGACTACGCAATATGTGAAGTCCAGCTAGTGCAAGACGAGCATCTGTGGTTAAAAAGTATATCAATTTTTCTTTTTTTAAGAAAATGACCAAGGCAAGTAGGCATATTCGGATGCAACTTAAGTATACACGCGTCCAAATCTCGCAATAATTAGTGCACCGCGCAGGTAATTCTTGCCTACTCTCTTATGAATACTAAGGATTCGTACATATTAGTTCGCCTACTGCTTTTTGCCTACTATATTGTAGGGAAGTATGTGATTTCGGAGGCAGCGACTGCCTTTATGAATGAATCATTGACAGACATTATTGTGTCTAAAATTACCTCAATATTAACTTCTTGTTTGTTGAGCTGTTGTATAACATCAATCTCATTTGTGATCATGCTCCTGTGCTGATATTCGGAAAAAAAGACACTCTTGCTTGTGTGATATTACTAAAGTATATCATATTTTTTGCTTATATAACTTGAATTAGGCTATATTGTCATTTTAACTGCATTCTAATATGGTTAATCATGCAGTGAATGCTTTTGGACTCAAGATGTGTACGTGTGTGTGTGTGTGTGTGTGTGTGTGTGTGTTTTGTGCAAAATGAGTGACATACTACTCAATAATATCAGCTCACACATCGTTAAAACAACAATTATCGTATACGATAAATATTACACATCCCTATGTCCAACATCAGTGCTTTCTAAAGAGGCGCAAGACACCTTGATTAACATTTAAAAATGACCAGTATGAAAAAATGTACTATAATACTCTTCAAAAGTGTACATTATGTTATAAGGGATTTAATAGGTTTCTAATAATATAAAATTTCTCCACAGCTGAAGTTCAGCTCAGTCTCACTAGAGCTTATCAAAATCTCTCGCATTCTCTTCTTTTACCCTCCTGCGTTACCAGGCAGAGCGGTTGCTAAGAGTTCCAGTGCTGTTAGTTTAATTCCGTGTGTGAGATCGTGCTGTGTGCTTTACTAATTATTTTGAAAGTGGGAGACTAGCCAGTACTCCCATTGCCAATTAGCATCAGCTATACCCCCAAAATAACTGCGTCTCAGAGCGACATTGTTTCTCAAATGACTCTGAAACAAAAAATAATAAAATAAATACTAATAGTGCTAAAAAACTTCCCTTTTCAGCTGTGGTGGTGGTTTTTTCCCCCCTCCTCTCAAACTTGTTTTCTGCCTCGCATTCTCACCCTCTCTTTGATTATAGTGTTGTTTGTTGTTATAGTTGTTTTTGCTAGGGATAATGATTTAGTCTTCCTGTCTTTGAATCATGACTCTCATAAGACAATAATTGCTCCATGCAGTCCAATCATAGGGCTGATGAAACACAGACCAGCGTCTGTCTGAATAATCTCATCATCTACATCGTATTTATGGATAGTTACTGGTTCTAGCATGGAACAACGTTTATCGCAATCTTTTGTTTTGGTTGTGAACTAAACTCGTTGGGTTTTTGAACAAATCTTTTACATTTTATATATATTTAGAATTTTATCTAAATAAAATATCATTATACTGTATATACTGTGTGTACATATATATATATATATATATATATATATACTACTTAACACTTTTAATTTGATCTATTTTGTTTACATTTGTATTTATATATTAACAATAATTTAATATATGAATATTTTATATATTACAAATCTTTTAAAATATGTGTATATATGCCTATCATTTACAGTATATATTTACTTTTTTATATAAATATATGGCTGTTAATTGAGGTAAATGAATGCTGTGTCATTGACTAGAAGGTTACATGCTAACCAGCAATTAATTTAACCTCATGTGTGCCACCAACAGGTTACTGAATGAGTCTTTTTGGAAGAAAAATCAAGCTATTATTGTCACTGAGATGAGTCTAAAACTGTCAGATTAAAAGGGCAGAATATTAACATGATTTTTAAAGATCTCAGTATCTTATAGTTTCCTAGCATTAATCACACACAGTGGAAATATTTTATTGATATTCTCTCCCGCTTCCGTATTCACTCTGATTGAATCCAAAATCTCTTCCAAGTGTAATTACGTCCCGAACTCCAGGGACCCTCCAAAGATGTGAGGGTGTCTTAAGCAGATGTTAACCAAATCATCCGGAGAGGTGACCTTATATTCTCTGTCAAACTTTCTGTGGTGGCTGGTTTTTCTTTCTGTAATTTATTCTAATTCTTATTCCAAAGGAGAATTTCATCTCTGTAATGCTATTGCTGATAAAACTGAGTTTGCATTTGTCTGACTTTACTAATGTGCTGCCAACTTACTGACTCCCAAAGATGCCTCATGTGCTTCAACTAATTTACAGCCTTCTCGTCTCATTCGACCGACCCCGTCCATCATCCACCGCCTCGCTGCCTTTTGCATTTCGTGCCTCAGTTCCGCAGGGATCGCGGTGACTCAAAATAGAGCCACCTATCCTCCACCGCGATGCCATCTCCTCCAGACGCGTCTGAAGAAGCTGAAGGGATTCTCAGCGTGACTCATTCGGCACTCTGTACTCACTACGCTCCGCGGGGACGTGACTTCTCTTTGACAGGGAATCTATTAATAAGGTGCTTTTGGTTTGGTCGGTGGGCTGGTGGCATATGGAGGCTGACGGACTCTGTGTTCCTGGAGTGGGCCGCTTTCTGTTGAGACGCCGCAGACCCCAGAGGGGTTTACAGGAGCTGCACATGCTAAAGTCATTGTGGAATAAGTAATGATGGAGAGCCGTGCAGCAGCCAGACACACTGAATTTGTCAAGGGTTTGTTGGATATATTTAAAGGGGTCATATGATGCGATTTCATTTTTTCCTTTCTGTCAGCTTACTGTAGAGCTGGAAGTCAAGTATTACTATTACTTTTGTTGCTTATAACAATAACTTAAATTAACAATTAACCATCTTGCACTTTGATCTGGCCCTAATTCATGAGAAATACTTTAAATAATAATAATAAAAAAATGAATGAATGAAATGAAAAATGAGAGATGGTGGAGCTGCTAGGCAGTTTTCAGTGTGGAATGTTGCTAGGGTGTTCTGAGTCTTGTTTAGCCCGTTGCTATGTGGTTGCTCAGATGATCTGAGTCTGGAATGTTGCTATGCAGTTGCTCGGCTGTTTTAAGTGCTGTTTAGAATGTTGCTATGGCGTTTCTAAGGTGTTTTGAGTCTTGTTGAGAATTTTGCTAAGTTGTTTTGAGCCTGGAATGTTACTGTACAGTTGCTAGGATCTTCTGGGTCTTGTTTACATGTTGCTATGCAGTCGCTAGGGAGTTCTGAGTCTAGTTTAGCATGTTGCTATGTGGTTGCTAGGGTGCTCTGAGTCTGGAATGTTGCTGGGCTGTTTTGAGTGTTGTTTAGAATGTTGCTATGCAGTTAATATTGTGTTCTGAGCCTTGTTTAGAATAGTGTTTTGAGTCTCGTTAAGACTGTTGCTATGCAGTTTCTAGGCTGTTCTGAGTCTTGTGTAACATGTTGCTATACTAGGGTGTTCTGAGTGTAGTT